TGGTTGTAGTTGTAGTTGCATTTGTAGTTGTAGTGTGCTGCAGTGTAATTAGTGTAGTGTAGTGTAGTTGTAATTGTAGTTGTAGTTGTGGTAGTAGTAGTTGTTGTATAGTTGTTGGTGCAATTGGTGTAGTGTAGTGTAACTAGATGTAATTAGCGTAGTCTAGTGTAATTAGTGTACTGTAATGTAGCGTAGTATTTTTGCATTTGTAGTTGTAAAAGTAGTGTAGTGTGGTGGTAGTGGTAGTTGTAGTTGTCTATCTATCTATCTGTCTATCTATCTATCTATCTATCTATCCATCCATCCATCTATCCATCCATCCATCTATCCATCCATCCATCTATCCATCTGTCTGTCTGTCTGTCTATCTGCATGCTTGAAAACGCAGCAATTCTGCGAGACGTCCTCAATTTTTGAACTTTTCAACATCAAAAACGACACAATTTTGCGAGACTTCCTCAATTTTTGAACTTGACAACATTAAAAACGACACAATTCTGCGAGACTTCCTTCAAAAATGGAAAGCTGAGTGCAGAGCTGACAGCCTCGTACCAATGCGTTTTGCGATTTTTCCACTCCACCTGTCTAAAGTATTGCGCCTACCACGAAAAAGTGATGCCAGGTCACACGAAGTGCTGCACCTGTCACGCAAAATCATCTCAGCGATCTGATGCTCCAAAATGCAACCCCTCGCAGGAAATCAGCGCCCGAACCTCCCAACATCTTTGATGAAGATGTCTCTTGTACTGCCTGCCACGCGACATGCATCTTTGCAGATCTTCTTCAAATGTCCCACGCCTGCCATCGTTTTTGAAAATGCCACGAAACCCTCATGTTTTTTTCTCACTTTTGACAAGGTGCACAATCCCTTGCGCTTGCCACGCAAAACGACATCCGAACGTCGAAAAGTGCTCCGTACCCCTCAGTTTTTTACACTTTTGACTTCGAAATGTGCTTCGCGCCACAACGGTGTGCACTTTTTCGACATCTCAACTTCCAAAAGTGCTCCGAACGTGGTGTGTTTTTGTACATTTTGACTTGGAAATGTGCTTCGCGCTACAACGGCGTGCACTTTTTCGACATCGCAATTTCTAAAAGCGACCGGACGCTGAGCTGCTTTGTACATTTTCACTTGGAAATGTGCTTCGCGCCACAACGGTGTGCAATTTTTCATCTCTCATCTGGCCAGATGGCTCCTCACCCACCGCTTTAGCGAGCCTACTTTTCGACATTTTTCGACCCTCCGGAGCCACAAATCAGTGGAAAACACACTGTTTCGCCACTGTCCTACCTTTTTCGCACACCTGGATCTTCTTTCTTCTGACTCTTTTTTGATTTTCTTTCTTCTTCTTCTCTGACTCTTCCCATCTCTGCTTTTCATCTGTCCATATTGTCGGAAGTTTGACTTCTAAATTTCCTTCGCCTATAATATATACATATATATATATTATATATATATTATATTATATTATATTATATTATATTATATTATATTATATTATATTATATTATATTATATTATATATATATATATTATATATATATTCTCTCTATATATATATATTTATATATATATAGTCTCTATATGTATAAATACATTTAAATATACATATATATATTATATTATATTATATTATATTATATTATATATATATTATATTATATATATTATATATATATATGATGTCTTGAATTATTATCATATTATCCCATATCATTAACATATATTAGCTATATCAATACAAGAATCTCAATGCTTCGATACAGCTGATGTCGCCAGACCTGGAGCATCCGCGGCGTATCCGCGTCCAGCGTAGCGTCCGACGCGTCCGACAGGTACAGCCCTGGAGCCAGGCTCTTATGGCCATCGGGAACTTTCGGCTGGAGCCTTAACGGCTGCGACATGTGTTGCGAACAAAACAAGGCCACTATTTGCAAAATATATCAAATTGATTTAATATTGAGCATGATTGAGTGCCACCTGCTATACTAACTATCCAAAATTTTGTGATACTTTCACACATTTTCACACATCGCATCGTCACACATCTTCACACTGCACGGAAGAACAGTTCCCAATAGCTTGCCCTGCCCGTGGCTGCAGGTTTGTCTATCACAATGGCATCAAGGCCTTGATATTGGGTTCATTCAATCGGAACATGATGAAGATAGAAACTATGAAATCCTGCCCAAATGGTGGTAAACTGACCTCTTCTATCTTTTTGGTTGCTAGAAGTAGCGGATTGGGGTGTACCGGTATATACCTCATTTTTGGACAAAACCGCCAACCCCGGATTCTTTTTGTTTGGCAGGCCCTTCTTGAATCAGAAAGCTTCAACAAGCCACTGTCTGACGAAGCGTCCACTCCTCAGCGTGCCAGAGATCCCAAACACACAATGTTCAAAAAATCAATCCCACAACATATGGGAAGTCCATAAGTTCCATTGATTGGGCACCATTGGGACCAAATACACTGAATAAATTTTAATCTCACTTCCGGCATCATAGATACAGGCTTGTTGCACCCTGAGGTCAGAGTTGCTCACCGGGATGTTGTTGAGACCTTAGACTTTGAGTAGGTTTCAGGGAACCACAAAACAATGGACATGGATTTATCTCTCAAAGTGGAACCCCAATATCCCTTGGTTTGTCATCATAATTTCACTAAAATTGACCTGTTGAGGTGTCCCCCATTACTGTAGACAAAACCACATCCAACAACAAATCACAACAGAGATTTTCTGGGATGATCCGATGGATCGTTGTGCTCAGCAAGCAAGCGGCTGGCTCCGTGATTGGTTTTATCATCCATTAATAATAAGATACAATAAGTAAGCACTTCCAGGTGTTGCTAGTCAAAAACGACACCATGTTTTCGAGAAACATCTCCAAGAATCCTGGCCCCCCCTGTGCATTTTGTTCCTCGAACCAAATCTAGGAAGTGGAACATTGTATTAGCCACGTATTCACCCATCCATCTTGGCATACCGCAAGCAAAATCCCTGATTGATACTCAATTCAGCGGAATCGGTCAAAAAATCATTTACAGGAAATTCCGAGTTTTTCGGGTTTCAGTTGTTCCATGGTTTTTTCGCCGCTGAGGCATGTCTACGCTGCATACCGCTGGACTGTTCAGCAATGCCTCGTCCGGGTGCTCTGAGCCCCAAATGCCTGGTGGATGATGGTTCTATCTGACTGTTATTCAATTTATATATCATATAAATATGTAATACTGTATATACATAATATATATATATATTATACATATATATATAATACATTATTTACATATTTATTTGATGTATGTATATATGTATTCCCGTCCCGGTTGTAAAGACTTGATCATGACCTTTCTGATGTAGCATGTTGGCTTTTAGCTCTTGTAAATAACCCGGTAGAGTGGTTATTTCTCTCTGTTAAAATTGATAAATTGTGTCTTGCTGCGCTCAGAAAAAGAGTGAGAAAGTCTTTATAATATATATATATATATATACATATTATGCATTTTTACTCATTGTACAGTATATATATACATCATATAGTTATATATATGTGATATTATGTGAGATTTATTCGATGGTCTTTAGATGATGGTCCTTAGATGATTGACAATCTTCTTGATGGTTCTTATAATTGCTATATATGTATGTTCTTGTGCATGATGGTTATTCATGGTTATTCTAAACTGGTTATACTGACTGGTTTCAATCAGAAATCCTGACTGATCCAGCAGGAATTTCTGGGATCAGTTTGATGCATGGTCGTGACGTGACTTCGGCCTCAGGAGAGCGCCTGGTTCGCCGACCTACAGGCGATGTTTGCTTTGAGGAATCACCGCAATCATCCACAATCCAGTTCCTTATTGTGGTACCAGAGCATTGTAGAAGCACCCCATGCTGCTTCTTCATCCTCATTGACTCGTTGTTTGTTCGCGAGGCAGAGGGAGCGTAGGACTGCGTGCCGACCTTACCAAGTAGCGGTCATTGTAGATATTTGTAGATTCTCTACCTTCAAGCCGTCATGGTGGGGTGAAAAAATGCAAGTTGGGCCTCAAGAATTGACCGTTTCATTGGGAAAATATGGGAAAATGATGATAATCTCCTGGAATTTCGGGTACCCCATTTTTAGACCCTGTTCCCCTCTGAGCTTCGTGATGATTCATTAATGGTACCAAGTGCATGAAAGCGCTTAGCCAGTAGTGGCTCGCTCGGACGCTTACAACCGTGAGGTTGGGTCGGTGCAAATACCTCTTTTATCAGTGAGCAGTGCCTGCTGTTTGTCTAGAGCGTTTGGCCGGGCTCTGCAAGAAAAGGGTGAGGCATGAGACAAATCCATTCAGACTTCAGAGCACTTCTTTCTATGAGGGGAATGCACAAATTGCAAATTTATCCAGAGATCTTGATACCAGGAAGATTTGGAATTATTTAGAATATCGAAGGACACTCAGGGCACAGAGCATGTTTGATGCGGAGCTTCTGGTTTTCCGTGGAAAATAAGATTCAAATGTCAAAGCTCTTCAACTTCAAGCTGGTGCTTTGCAAATCTTTGCAAATTTTGGCCATGAAGGTGCTAAGCTACTAGGATAGTGACTTAACGCATGCTTGGTTTCTGCTAGAGTCTGGCAGTCTGGCCAAGATCAGGTAGTTGTCCCCTCCTGCGGTTCTCCCCTTCTGGGGGAGCCTCGAAAACGACCCAAAGTCGTTGTTGTTTCGTGAGCACTTGGTCATTTCTAGTACTCACGATGTCCACGATTTTTATAGGAGATTGCAAGATATTGCAAAGTTGAATTCACTGATTGTTTGGGAAAAATATGGGAAAATGGTTCCAGTCAGCCAATGATTCGCAGACAACGCGACATGCGCAGCACGCGCGCTGGTCTTTTGCTTCATTCATTTGTGGCGGATCGTCGTGACAAGAAACATGTCACGAGTGAGATTGCCACCAGCAACAAGGTGCTACCCATGGATGGGTGAACTCCAGTGTAAAAATTGGCGGAAAAGAAAGGCAGAGTAGGTCGTTGTGTCGTTGTTTTTCTGCATTGGAGTATTTTTTTAGAGATGAACTGGGGAAAACACTCCATCAACACGGTGTGAGGCACCATGTACAAACAGCCGGACATGATTCGAATGGCTAAGATAGATGTTGCAGCCCATGACGAGGCAGCTCGTCCTTGCAAGCGTTAGATGATGTTTTGCTCTTCAAAGGAACAAGGCTCTCATTCAATGTATGTCAAGGTAAGGCACTCTGTGATAATACGCTTGTTATTGGCATCGCTTGGACTTGAAGCTGTCCGGGGTTTCGCCAGGAAACTTTTCCTGCGCTGCATCAGAGCAGCAGAGCGAACGCTCAGCAACCATCGTTGTGACTGTGGGTTGTTGATGCCAAGTCATTTCTTGGCGCACCAGGAAACTCAGGCGGACAGCGACCAAACAATTTCATTTCTATTTGTTGATTACCTACACCTGACCATTCATTCACACAACATGTTCCTTTTCTCATGCCAAGGCTGGAATAGATACTTCGCAATAGTGCAAATGGTTGAGTTCTGTCCTGTTTGTCCAGGACTGTTCAGCTGACACGCCATGTATATATGATATAATCATATATATAATTGAATCATACTAGATCTACGTACCATAAATTGTTTATCAACGAACAGAAGGAAGTGTATGCAATCATTTTCAAATCATTTTTAAGTGTAAACATTAGATATAAAACATTATTTTCAAATCATTTTATGTCTAGGCCTTGACTCTTTATGGCCATGGCTGGTGCTCGATGAGTACTGCATCCACCGCAATGCCACTTTGGCCCCCTGACCGAAGCGCTAAGAAATGCCACGAAGCGAAATGCGGAGCTATGGAACGTCGGACCTTTGGAGATAAATTCCGGCAGCCTCTGTGTGAGTTTCACAGAGCAAGAGAATCAATCTCATGTGCTCATAGCGTTTGGACCTAGTCACATGGCATGGAACAGAACTTTGAAGGCGTTTGAGCAAGAAAGCAAGTATCAGAACTGGTATGATCTGGCATGAACAAGAGAAGTAATTTATAGGCAACAGCTGTTTCTTACGATGCAATTGGGTGTGAAAATCCACCTCCAAGGTTGGCACATTGGATTGAAGATTCAAGGGTAGCCTGGTGGTAAAACCTAGCTTGGCCCTGGCATCTCAGGATTCTCGTACCTTTAAAATCCTTTAAAGACTAATTCAATTCGGGTTGATGGATCAATAATCATCAATAATCCCTCAATGGGATTTTAGTTGTATATTTGTGGGAGTACCTTGGAGCGCTTGGAGGGTATCATTAGATTTTCATTAGATTTTCATGATAAGTGACACAGTGACATGTGCTTTTCGTGAAGACTTTATCTGGGTATTCTGGGTCCACTAGAGAAAAGCCGAGGGAGCTGCGAGCCCTTCTGCTAGACTAGACTTCGGGTGCCGCGTGCTCATTCAAAGTGCACGGACCTCCCAGAAAAAGTGGTCAGTGGATGCAGATCTGGTAGGGAGAGCTTGTGGGGTGGTAGGTCTGGGGCATGTTTTATCATGTTTTTGTCCAGCCAGATATTCGACTGGTCTGCAACAGGTTGCTAGGAAAGGAAAAAATAACAGAGCTGGGCATGTCCTTCTAATTGAAAACATCATTGACATGTTGGATAACTCCTGAATATGTTTGTGGATGCGTGTGGCTACTTGCATGAGAACAGATGAGCAGACTCAATGAACTCAGCAGCGGTCTTGCTCCACAATCAACTGGGAGCAGCAGTAGTTGACCATGTTGGCTATGAAGCTGGGATCATCAGTTCACATCCCATTAGTGGTGATCGTAAGTGTCTCATGATGTATATTGATGGAATCAAGCACACTATTCATATTATTTCATATGGGGGTTTCCATAAATGGGACCCCTAAATCATCCATTTGAATAGGATTTTCCCTTATAAACCATCCAGCTATTGGGGTAAACCCATTTATGGAACCCCCCATACGGTTTTGAGTTTTTCTCCCTGCCCAAGTGGCCAGGCCTTATTGAACTTCTATGGCCTTCGAGACTTTAAGGATGTGCCACTACCTTAAAGCAGTTGCATCCATTTGTGAATTCAATGCTGTGATTGGACCAATTAGACCACTGACATCCCATGATTTGGATAGAAAATTGGGCAGATTCAATCGATATTGCGGAAAGGGCCACTAGAAGTCATCGGAATTTGTAGTGTGAGGGTATGTAAGTCTCCCGGAAAAAAGAACAGCGTTTCAAGTTGGTGAATAACTATAAGTTTGCTATATATATATATATGCAACATGTTATACTATATATATATACATATACATTAATTACATTAATTATATATATATATGTATATATATGTATATATATATGTATATATATATATGTATATATATATGTATATGTATATATATATGTATATGTATATATATATATATGTATATGTATATATATATATATGTATATATATATGTATATATATATATATAGTAAGTATATTATTGAGTATACTTCAGGTACCAGTGTAGTATGTATTTTATATAGTATATATTATAGTATTTAGTATAATGTGTATTGTAGTATTTAGTATAATGCATGTTATAGTATAATATACGGTACCGTAATAGTATATAGAATTGAGTACATACTAGATTGTGTGTGGTATACATAGTATCAGGTATATGGTATATAGTAGTACATTGTATATGAAGTCTACAGTATCAAGTATATAGTATGTAGTCTATAGTGCATAGTATATAGATATCTAGTTTAAAGTATACGTGTATATATATATACACATTAATTGTGCAATATTAAAGATCCTATCATATATGATATGATAATATGATTCACATATCATGTATCATATATGAAACACATGTCATATATCATTTATCAGATGTCACATGTCATAATTATATCATATATCATATATCACATATCACATGTTGTGATATATCATTATATATATATATCATATATCACAACATATCCCATCAGAATATATATATATATATAACTATATATATATGTTGCATACGCATGATATACTCTATACAGTATATCCACGTATAGACGGTCATAAACCCCACACTCCACAATGTTGCGCAGATTTTGCTTGACTTAGTCGCTTCTGAGGTCAGAGTTTCTGATCCACGTGGCCCAAGTAAGGGGTAAGTTAAAGAAAAATGCAGGTGGGGGTTCCTTGGCTGGCCTTGTTTGGGGGGTACTTTGAACTACATGGATGTGTACCCCAAAAGTTGATGATTTGATTAATGGACCAAATAGATGTCCCCTGGCTCTTAAATTCTGATACACAGAGTTTGGCGACAATACGTAGCAATGCAACTGCAGTCATGTCAGGATTGATTCGCAAATTCTTAAAGGAGAAAAAAATCATGCAGACTGGGTTTTCCGTCATCCCTTCAAAGGGCCACACCTTGATGCTGCAGCATGAGATAGTATGAGTCGGTGAGGATGAAAACTGCGTTGGCGACTCCAGGGCTCAACAAAGAAAAATTAACCAGCTACAGGCGGCACGGGTCAACTTCTTTAGCACCGCCTGAAGTTCCTGAAGATTTCACCAGGTCCTAAAGATGTGACTGTAGGAAATAAGTCAAATGTGTGGCTTGAGCCATTCCAATTGTTACCCTTACAAGTCATCAAAATTCCTGAAACTGGACCGGGGGATCCCATTGGCTCGCCACTGTGGCTGGTAGAATCCCAGGCTGGTTGGTTAGATCATGTTCTTGGTCGCATGTGGTCATACCTCATTTCATGCTGATTAAATCTATGTTTTCTGCTGGTCATATAGCTGGGTAATAGAAATATGTTCATGTCTTGAGGGTCAAACCATCTGTCAAACCCCAGTTTCTTGATATTATGTTCTACGTAAATTCCAAACATTCCGACATTCTTGGTGAGCTGCCCAATATTTTGCTGCTTGGAGGATCGTCCCTTAGTGATTGTTGTATAACTGGCGTTATGAGCCATTTCATGCCATTTCTGAATGGGATAAACCAATGAAAAACCATGGATAAACCATGGATAAACCAATGATAAACCATGGATAAACCACATTATAAATGTTTTTTGCTGGTGAAGCCCATCTTTCCATCGCTCCACGGCTTTCGCCTGGCACCGCTAGGTGGGGCCGGCGCCGGCCTCGATCTGGCCTCCGCCGCCCGGTCCGTGATCTCGGACTGGACCACAGGTCCCAAACACGGGCGATTTCACCGGACAAAAAGGGAAATATTGGGACATTTATCATGATTGATCATGATTTATCATTATTTAGATTTATTTAGATTTATTTAGATTTATCATGATTTATCATGATTGATCATGATATTCTATGTTGAGAAACTGGTTTGAAAACTTTGACTGCAAGAAAACATGAGAAGCGTCGGGACTGTCACGACTAAATGTTGGGGATTTTACCAGGCAAATGAGTCAACACTGCGCAAACAGAAAGGCGGCAACTCTCATGCTTCTGGCCAAGTCCCCAATGCTAGTTACAAGATCTCCACGTTGTTTGGGTTTGATCCTTACTTCTTGTTGGAAAATCTGGTAAAACCACCATATATTTTGCACTTCACTTGTGCAACTAAGTATAGTAATAAGTAGTTTACTTAGCATGCGAAGATTGAGAGTTCAGATCTGGGATGAAACAAACGAAGCAGAGCACTGAGCACCGGTTTCGCTGACAGGCAAGTTCCGGTACTACGTTCTTCTCTCAGCATCGAACAGATGCAGAACGTCTCCACTTTGGGTTGGTCACAGCGCACATAAACAAGATCAAGAAGAAGCTTGCGATTGCAGCATCCTGTGTGTTTCCTCAAAACCATCGGTTTCACTGTTAATCCTGAACATATCCTGAACAATTTTGGATGATGCAGGGGTCCCCAATTTCAAAAAAAAACATATTATCACTGGTGACGTCTTGAAAGCAGTGTGAGAACGACTGAGTCACTTTTCCTCGGTGCTGTGAAGTCTATGGCCGAGGTGTTGCCCCCTGCCAGCAGCAGCCAGGATGCAGCCATTGCTGAGGCTGCAGCTGCGATTAGACTGGGTGTGTCCAAACTTGGGGATCTTGGGGCCGATCCATGGACCATTTTGTTGCATGCCCTGAGACACATGTGGCTGTCATCCACTGAGTTCCACTGGTCGCCGAATCGCAGGCAGAGACTGCAGAGGTTGTGACATCCTTGGTTTGAACCCAAGCCGATAAGACTATGATTCAAAATTAGGGTCCTGAAAAATTGGTGAAGAATGACCAAAATCTTGGATCCCCTGGGCCTCTTGGCTCTTGAACTTTGTCCCATATCCATATGGTGGCCCCACAGGGCTGTGCCAGAGGCTGCAGGTGTCACAGGCAGCAGTGCCGACTGACTCACATCATTTATTTTTAGGCCGTCTATGATTTAGATACGAAGTAAATCGCACTTACATGATCTCCAACATAATTGTACGAAAGACATCGAAATATATCGAGATACTGTGTTTCCAGGCCCAGTTAAGTATATAACTGCAACTGAACGTTGGGGCACAACACCATGACAGTCCAATGAAGAAAAAACATGATGAATTCTTGAATCCGAAATGAGGCTCCTGCGCTGGACATTGATGCACTCTTCAGTAGCCAAGGTCAAGTGTTGTGGAATGCAATTTTCAGGTTTCAGATTGATGCTTGAACCTTCATTGCATTCCAGAAATTCACTGAGATGAGCTGAGATAACTAGTAGACTCCTTGACGAAGCTATGCCAGGGGAAGATCCATCCGTGCTGGGCGCTCCGTGGGACGAGGCAAGACCTTTCAACGGTCAAAAAAGGTGGCAGGGTTGCTGGATCCATGTTCTTGGAGAATCACATAATACTATAATATTGTATATAATATATGTATATATATATACATATATACACATATCTATATCATTTGAATTTAAAATTGTTTATCTTTCGTAAAGATTAGTAAGTAAAGACTTCAGTCCCACTGGTATAGGTTTAGGGTGATGAAACATGGAGCAAGCTTATGTGCAAACTTAGAGATGATACCTTGGAGGATCACCTGCCGTTTGTGCTTTGTTTCAGTGCGGTTACAGCTTTGTTTCCTCAAAGTGGAATGATCCTTCTTTTGTACATAGCAAGGTGATTTTGGCGTGTCGTATCTGCCAAAATTACACCCATTAAATCGTCTCTGAGATTTCTGGCATGTTTCTTTTGGATGGTCAGCAGTGTACCATGCTTTTCACCACCTCCAACGATGAAAGTGCTGATCTTGTTGGCCGTTGAGTCATCCAGGATGATGAAGATGCGATGTGCCGGGGCCTTGTCTGGGTGCATTCGAGAGCCTGCAAGAAGATTTGTAAATCGATGATACAAAATTCCTTGATGGTTGGAAATGTAGATGCATCACGTATTCTGACGTGAGGACAGCGATGGTTTCGTAGGGCTGTGCAAGGAACTTGACTTTTGAAAGGAAATGGATAGTGACAGTTGCAGGAATGTGCAGAAACAACAATCTATTTGGTTTGCTTTTGAAACTAAGTATGGCTATGGCTATTGCCAAGACTGGATGGTGACATATGGTGACTGAAATGGCCAAATTCACGAGGCCCTTGGTAATGTCAACCAGCCTAAGTCACTATGGGAGTCTATTGCTGGGCCTCCATCCCCTCCATCCTTCAGCCAGAGTTTCGTCATACCAGCGCTGAGGTGACGAGGGTGGAGGTGTTGAGGCACAACTCAGAATGCCATAGGATGCCATAGGGGTATACAGGTATAAACAATTGCCCTTTAGGGGTATGCAATTTTTTTTGATACAACCCCATTTATTTGGAAAAGCCTTGCTTTCCTTGTTTCTTTCCGTAAATCTATGTCTATTCAGAATCTCAACGTCTTTGAAGCGAATCATTTGTCAGGAACCTCATATGTACTCTTTGAACGGTATTTTTTCCCTAGAAGCTTCTTTGTGGAAAATTTTGATGTTCTCTCATTTTTACTACTATACAACCCCCAAACAGACTGGATCCAACTTGCTGTCCGCAAAAAGTTGAGTTCCCACTCGCAACAGGTGGATGTGTCCGGAATGCGGCGCTAAGAAGGCCCGCAGCATTGCTTGATTTTTTTGTTGGTGGAAGTTTCTGGTGATGAAATTTTGGCCCTGGATCAAAGTGGTTGAAACCATCTCAGGTTTGTTTTCAGAAGCTGGTGAGTGGATGGTTACCAAAGTTGTTTACCCCCCCCCGAAAAAAAAAAATGCTCACGATCCCATCAATGGAGGCCATCCGCATATGGTTCAGCTATGAGGAAACTGCAATGGTCGAACCACTGCAGGGGCGGCAGAGCCACTAGACAGAGGGTTTGTGTGGTGAAACCGATGAAACAACAAAACAATTTGGTGTTCAGATCTATTGAGATGTCTAAATCGTCGTGGCAGTACGGAAAAAAATGCCGATCTGTTTTCAAATTCTTGTGATGAAACATCAGTCACTGTCTGGTGGATCAGATCCTGCGTTAATATGCAGGGTTGGCGAACGGCTCACCTCTAAGCAATAATAAGAAGCCATGCGAGAAAAATGGCGTGGCCGAGGCTGGGCTGCAGGAAAAGCCTGGAAACGCCCTGAAGGGTTTACAGTAGTAATAGTGTGGACCTATAGTGTGCAGGACTGATGTTTGGAAACACTGGGATTGTATTGTTTTGCAGGTTGTTCCATTGATCAACAGTTCGGAACCGTTCGATCGTTTGTTCTGAACATGTGCATTAAAGGTGAGAGATCCAGTTGCATAGTGGGAACCTGATAGACTTTTCAGATCAAGTGATAGAGCTGTGGACAAGGCTGCAGTTCTGTGCAGCACGGAGTGGACAGCGACATGTTGTTTATGTCTCAGCTTGGAATTCCTAAGACTAAACCACTTCACATACAGCCAATTCAAGGCAGCCAAGAAATATTGTACAACATTTCATATCCGGCCATGGATGCAGCTGCAGAAGCATTTTTCAAAGCCGACGGTCCCAGATTCCTTTCTAGATCACGCAATCCTTGATCCAATCATGGGGATTGAACCCCTTCAAAAGTGACCTTGCCATAATATTCATTGATACAGTATTCCATAATAAGGGCTACAGTGTTAACCAGCTATTAGTACACCTTTCCGGAATCTGCCAAGGACACCATCAAGCTGAAGCCTGAGAAGTTGGAAGCGCAGCGGCAGGCCGTGAGCCACTTCGTGCGACAGGCGCGGCAAGTTCTGTCGTTGCGCTCTGGCGTGTTTTTTTGGGTAAAGATGTTTGGTGTGTGCAATCAACTCCAACATGAAACTACTCACAAATCAACATGTATTTTAAACAAAAACAAGACAAAAGCTGGTCCAGTTTGGGACTTGTCAAGTTTTCACCAAAGTTTTGAGACATCTATGAAATTTATGAACTTCCTTTCTTGCGGCGATGACATCCATGGCAACCTCTGCCGGAAAGGCTCGAGCCAAAGGGAGTCGAGTGGCCTTGATCACTTCAGGAGGCGACCTGTGAGCCTAATATTTTGGTGGTTCACACATATTTAGAGTAGGAACCCGCCAAAAAAGTGGAGAACTACCTATAACCAAATCACTTTTAGATACATTTAGAGCAAATCTCTCTTGGAGGGGGACTATGACCAACAAATTCAGCTATTGAAACAGCTGGAGATGATCACCTCGGCCAGGCACCACTGTTCCATTCGAAGTGAACACCGTGCGTTCTGCCGGCTGCACTGACACATGTTCCAACGTGGCGGGGAGAACCACAGGGACGCCCTATTTTTCAGGGCAAAAATCATGTTAAACTGTTAAACATTGGAAAAACTATAGGTTCCATGAGATTTTCCCTGAACATGAGCATCCTGGGAAAAACTGATCAAACCACACCTCATGGCCATGATAAAAGATGGGCTGATTTGATCCGAGAGCAGTTCAGTATGCGTTTGTATGCTCTAAAAATTGACCCACGAGATGTGATGCCAGTTGAAGACCGATTCAACATGATTCAACTTAAATACTGCTGGTATTTGGCTGGTATGGTTCGCATCTCTGACTCCCTGAAAATTGAAAATGGATGGAGATGGATACTATGTATTCTATGTCAAGTGTGACACAAGGCGATCAGCCTCCCAGGAGTGCAGTTGAAGCACGAGTCTTGCTGTTTGTTTGTAATGATTATATAAAGATATATAAAGATATATAAAGATATTTAAAGATGTTAAAGTTTCTTGAAACTCAGTTTTCAACAACTCCCACTACAACTAGTCTGTGAACTCCCGGATACTGGTTGTAGCAGACGTTCACCACGGACACGCCTTGAGCTCCCAGGTTTCATCGATAACTTCTCCACTGGAACCAGAGGCGCTCTCTGTACCCAGGAGACGCTGCTGGCAGCGACATGCAGAAATTCTCTTCGCGTGACCACTACGTTTGGATGCACCGTTTGGCTCAAGTTCTTCAGAAATTCTCTTGCCACGATTGTGACCACTGCAATGGAACATAATGGAACTGGAACCTTCTAAGTTCTTCGGATCCCGGTTTGCCATGTGGTTTGCCATGGCCATGGGAATTCCACATGTTTGCTTGACCAAATCTGATATGAAATTTGGGGTGTCACGGCTGTTGGAGAAGTGCCGGCAGCACAAGCATGTCATTACCCAAAGGGAGCTGGACAAGAAGCGGCGTTTTCAGCAAGAGCTCTTGCGGGCTCGCATTGGGATGTTCGGAATGGTCCAATGCGTGGCAATTCACATCACCTTTTCCCTTGCTTTGGCCGCCGTGCACCAAGTGGTGGCAATCGGCAGTCAAGCATCCTGGGTGCAACTCTTAGGCACCATTATCGGCTATGGTGTGCACGCTTTGATTCAGTCAGGTTTGGTGGAGATCAAAAGTGCCAGCCACATTCGCTTTCTGGAAGCTGCTTCTGTTATCCCCTATGCTGTGCACCTTTGTGGTGTCGCCAACGAGACGGACCTTGAGATGTTCTTAGCCACTGAAAAAATCTCAACAGTGTCGATGGTCCTTTTGTCTGTGATCTTCATTGATTTGAAGATGACGCTTCCAGTGTACATCTCTGGAGCTGTGGTGCTAACTTACAAACAGTTGCAATTGATTGGTTTTTCGAATGTCAAACCCATGTTCTTTGCTTCAACTCTGGCCTCGCACACTGCTGCCTGTGGACTTGTCAGCTTTATCGTGCTTGCGATGCAATCGCAGATTGCAGGTAAGCTGGATTCACAAGATGTTTCCTCCCTCTTGGTGGCCTCGCGGAGAGTCTTAAGAGGAGTCTGCGATGGGGATTTGGTGCTGGACTCTCGCAATCACAATATCGTAGATGATGCAAGCTCCTTGGAACGATTGTTGAAAACACCAAAGAAATTAGCCGACACAAGTTTCTTAGACCTATTCCTGGACCCTGAAGGGCGGCAAAACTTCTTGCAGTTCCTGCGGAGTGAAACAGCTCCAAGAGAGAGCGACGGCATTCCACCATGCTTGAGGATAGCTCTGCAGGGGGCGGAAGGCCCTGTGTCCACAGATATTTTTTGCACCAGCCTCGCCGCTGCAGGACAGGACTACTTCCTATTGGCTTTGCGAGCCGATCCGGATCAATTTTTGGCTCCACCTGATGCACTTGCTGCTCCCCCTGCTTGGTGCCCTGTTCATCCTCAAGGGATGCGCCCTGCTGAGCCTTCTCAAGCAAGTTCCATCGAAGTCCCAGAAGCCCTCAAAGAACTGGTGCAGGCCACCCTCTTGGTGAGCAAGGAAAGCCCAGGGATGGATATCGAGGAAGTGAGCCTCTCATTTCTGCGAAATCCTCGTGAGAACGGGATGCCCACCCTACGGAATTTCATTCGCATCAATGACTGGCCGCGCGTGGAAGACTTCTTTAAGAAAGCTCGCAGCCCTCCTGTGGAGGATGGGGCAATTCCCGGCTTCCCTTCTGCCATGTTGCTCCGCATTCCGGGCAGTCGGCCCCGTGCCTATTTGTTGGCCCGTAGCACATCTGTGAGTGTTGCGGAGGAGTCCGGAAAGCCAAGCCACTTCCACCTGCAGATGCTGGATGTTTCACCCATATCTGACGAAGTGACTACAGTTTCACCCGCAGATTTTCGAAGTGCCAATCGGCTTTCCATTAGATCCACACGGCTACCAGACTGGTCGACCACAAGTGGGCAAAATATGTGAGTGTGAAAGAGGTGCAAATGCAAAAATTGAGCATGTTGAGCTGATTCCTGTTGAGTTCCTGTTGTGTAGTTGAAGAAAAACATCGAAAAACATCGAGTGTCGCACGTCAGCAGGAATTCCTCGAAGCGGGCTATGCGGTGATCTTTTTGCACCGAAAAGGCGCCCTGCAGTGATGGCCATGGTCCAATGGTCCAATGGTATGATTTTCCGATTGGAAAAGGACAAGTATAGAAGAACGCCTTTGGAAATACAGCACAACAATATACAAAAAGGAACTTATTGGTCAATGCAGACTTCCCATTTGGATTGAGGATTCCTCCTTTCTTGGCGTCCGGTGGTATGGCTGTTTTTTGGGAGCTGAAATATCAGTTGAAGTCAAATGTTCATCCCTGTGTACATTTCCACTGTTCCATTACAGGGGCATTTTTGTAACAAACGGAGGCATTTTGTAAGGATTTGTTTCTAGTCAACCATGCCATTTTGTAAAAAGCGTGGCGAATCATTTTGTAAGAGCCAACATTATTAATAAATGCTGCAGAATAGCAAAAAAGAAACCGTCAAGGTTGAAGGAAGGTTCATTTTTCAAGCTTAGGGCCTTAGTTGCTGAGCAGCAGGTGTATCCATTGTTTGCAATTCTCGTGATAATTTGGTCCAAGCTGTGTGTTGCTGCGGCAGCAAAGCATTCAAGAGAAAGCAACTCTTGCTTTGAGTGCAGTGTTTGTTCTTCAAAGATAGAGAGGGACTCGAGGAATGTAATCTGGAAAAGACATTTGGATTTCTTCCATTTGGTCTCGCTATGCTAAGTTGTTTGGTCCCTCATCAGGCAGGGCCTCGAATCTCTGAGCCCAAGCCCCGTTGCCAATTTTCTGCAGCCTTCGGATGACCGTTGACATGGCAAGTTCGAGCCTGCTTGTGGAGCGCCGGGTGAACCCTTATGACAAGCCACTTGGTTATGAAAAACGAAAATGCGTCAAGTGCTGCTACGTCAACCATTGCAGCAGGTCAATAGTGTAATTAGTTATAATTAGTGTAATTCTCTGTGTCATTTTCATAGATGGCAGTGACATCCCCAGTGTTTTTGTTGGTGAGGTCACCGTACACATTTCAGGAATTGAGGACATACTACAAGGCGAGCTCCAAAGAATTGGGTGGCATGTCCATCCTTGCAAGATGTAGCGAGAAGAGACTCCTGTTAGATCCTGTTAGGACATCCAAATTCAGAAGGTTGTGGAACAATTGGAAGTCACCAGTTTTGACTTCAATCCAAACCAAAGGTTGAGCAGTGGGGATGTACATTTGATACACGTAATATCACGTAATATACTGATAACATCAATGATTTGATGATGATTATATCATGAACATCAGTGATGTTATCACGAAAAATCACAAAATATCATTGATAGCTGTTGATGTCATTGATGTCTGCATGCATTTGTGAGGGCCCATTTAAGATGATACGTCACCAGCACCTGTCAGGGCCGCTATCCCGATGAGCAGATCCAAGATCTTTGGGACAACCGTGGCTCAGCAGCACAGCATGTGGGGATTTCCATAAATGGTGGTGCCCCAAAATACATGATTCATAATGGAAAATCCATGAAAATCCTATTACTATATATAAATAAATGGATGAAACCTAGGGTAGCCCCATTTCAGGATTGACCCATGTTGACCCCAGGTATGGTCCCTGTCCTGCCAAAGTTGCTGGAGCAGGGCACGCCCGAACAACGAGCAGATCGCGACTATGTTCTCAAGGTCTGCAGCCAGTAGCGGATATGTATGTGCAAGAATGGAGAGCGACTTTTTTGTTTGTTCCATATCACCCAATCTTGTTGAATAATTCCCAATTGTTGATGATCACATCCCCACTTTGGATGCTTAACTCATGTGAAACCACCATGTTTAATCAAAAAATCCCCAATTGTTTGATGTTTCATCCCCCCATAGTTTTTGATGTTTTCTTGTCGTAAATTCCAATCAATTCACTGGGTTAAATCATGTTAAATCCCAGTTGTACTGGTGTTTTTTTATTTGTTCATATTAGTTCTGATGGTAAAAAGATGTTGAAACAGTTGAAACATGTTGAAACAGTTGATTCACCATTAAAATAGAATCATGTTAAATCCCATGTACTGTTGATTAACCAATGGCTTTTTGGGGACGACCCCAACCATCTTCAACCCACCATGGGCATGGGCCATCAGGCCCTGAAGCTCCGTGGCCCCGAGCTGCGGCACGCAGCCGTGGACTTGCGCAAGGACAAGGAGGTGGTCCTGCAGGCGGTGAAGCAGGCGATGGCCCGGATGGGAATTGGGCCATTGGGAGAAGTTGGGAGAAGTGTGTTGTAGATTTTGTAGTGTTCAGTTTGGCGTTTTCGGAAAAAAACATGGTTTTAATGAAATTTGATGGATCTGGATGGTCGACATCATGTCATCATGGCCCCCTTTTCTGTCTACTGATTAGCGCAATGTGGTTTTGCATGTCATCCCTTGTGATAACAAGCCTGCACCCTGGACTGTGACTCCCTTGAGTCTTGCAGGATTGGATATCCCTTGACTATGTCCCTGAAGAGTTGCTGAAGGACGCGAATTTCGTGCTGGATTTCCGGATGTTTTTGTCCTAAATTTCTGACCAAAAACCATGGTGCCAACCATCCAAAAACCATCCAACAGGATCGGGACGTCATCATGGCTGGTTTGCAACAAGATTGGGAGGCCATCACCTTGATGGGGATGGGTCCAAAGTGCATCACGATAGTATCTGAGAAGCTGCCATAGCTATCATGGCTATTTTGAATTTTGAGGTTCGACTGGGTACCAGTTTAGTGATCAATAGCCAGATCCCCACTGGTGCTGTTGCAAAGAATTGAGGTTCGGTTCTGGTTGAATTTCAATGGCCATGTTTGCAGACGGCTACCCGACGACAAGACATGTACTCACTTCATAATTTTGGGTCTACAAACTAAAGCCACAGCTTGGTATCCGCAGTGGTGTGGCAGTCTATTGTGCTCCAATTCTTGAAAGCGAACTAGGTCCACCGTTCACAGCGGACCGTGATACGACATGACTGTTTTCAGATTCCAAGTGCTTTCAATATTCGCAATTTTCATTGGGGAGGAATCTTTTATATAACCTTACCAAGGTTTGCAATGCGTAATTGCAGTGGTTGATTTTTTCATGTGTAGTTCCCCCTGTAATTTGCTGTTCAAACGTCATATCCAGTTGCCCCCAACTATCATATAAGTTTTCAAGAACTTTGTGAATCCTGTGAACACGTAATTCCATGGGGGGAAACATGTCTGGGTTTTTGGACCAAATAGGAATTGAGGTTTTCATCAGATTTCACTTATTCTTATCCAAAACTGTTTGTTCTCATGTTTCTTTTTTTCCAAGCCAGTTAGTTAGCTTTCAGCAATTGTCTTCAATGCTGAGTAGAACTCCTTTGGACTTGCAGGTGCCAAAGACATCCGAAAGACTGTCGTAAACAAAAAATTGGAAGACTAGATCAGATAACTCTGGGTCACGCACTCTTTGGCCTTCCATCTTCACACTGATCGAAAATGTGTTTCCCAGGAGTCGTTTCAATTCTAATCCCTCCCTGCCAGCGTGCTATCATCACCGAAGCGTCCTCTGCATATATGCAAGAAAAACTCAGTAAAATCGTAAACCCACGGGCTGTTCTGGGATGTGGCCAACTACCACAGCCACATATCAAGTGATTGCATCTCTACACAAATCATGGAATATATGAATGATAAATAATGATAATATATGATACTTGGATTTACTGGGTGTGTTTAGTTTACGGCTTCAGTTCTTCCCAGCTCCCCACAGCTGACATTGCCAGGCCATCACTTACGCCTCCAAAGAACTCCTCCATGAGGAAGAGGCGCCGCTGAAACCATGGGGCGTTAGGACCCAGGACAACTCCCTAGTCATTTGTCCCTGTCTTAAGATCATAGATCTTGGCCCCAGGACTATCCAGGACTCCAGGATGTATTTTGTGGATTCAGTATACAAAGGCTTCTATTCAGGAGGGACAAAAGCTCACCTGTTCGGGAAAATGAATGATTCACCAGTTCAAGTCTCAAACATCTTGGAACTGCTGGCCGCAACACATATGTGAAAGACGATTCTGGACTGTGAAAATTCTGCCAATAGACGGCTGTTTTTGATGTTTGTTCGACATTGGCTCGACTGGGTTATGCGGTGCCTTTTTACTGTTTTTTACTGCTGTCATTTCAAGTCCAACACATTCCAAGACTTGATTCCGCTAGGTGGTGGTTGCTGCTCTCAGTGCATCCATCATGGCACTGCAATCCATCCCAGAGGCACGTTGCTAACGATATCTGACAAGGCCTCTGTCCGTTTCGAACATTCCTTGGCATTGCAACAGGTGCTTTCAGGTGTCTTATGAAAGCATATGAGCCATATGAAATACAAACATTCAAATGCTCAAAGATGTTTAGATTGGGCATATCCATGCATGTTCAACATAGTTCAGCAATTTAAGAGTCAAATGTAAAGTACGGTAGAGGGTGATGGGAAAGGACAGATTTAATATAGTTTACATATGGTTTATATACGAACTTACTTATCGGTTTGAGTGTTCTTGCTACTTTTGACAGACCCTTGTTTCATTCCACACCTGTCTCGAAGCCTGAGAATGGAATAGTGGTTCAATGTCACATGACTATCGTGACTATGCAGGGCTTTAAACATCATTAAACCATATTTAACCTCTCCCACCATCCCTATTATTTTCTCGTCGTGCTGTTTTCACAGTTGAACTGGTCACCGTTTTGAGGAGATGTGGCAAGGCTCTTCAGCTCGAAGTGCTATGCTTGACTCACTGCGCAGAAACCCTGAGCCATTGAGACATTGCCCAAAGGCTGGTTTTGTTTGAGCTATGACAGGTATCGATAGTCGTGGGGTCTCCTTGTGTGCAAGCTTTGCATTTTAGCTATTGTGTGACAAGACTATATTGTGCCACAAATTGTTCGGTGGCAACAGACTATTACTATTGTATGATTGTTATTATATAGATATATATATAGATTATATTCATTTTAGTTTTGCATTTGCAAAAAAAAAAAAACATTTTTGGAATGGTTGATCCCATAATTCATATTCCATAAGATCTGTTTGGGATGGGTGGCACGATCACCAGATTAGCAGCACCCCCGTTGGCTCACCAAGCGCCAGGCCATTCACGCAGATCGTCAGGTCATGCTGGAGGCTGGAATTCACTGGGAGTCTTGGAGCTAAGGAATTCACTTGAGATTTTCTATGTCAAATTTCTGATTCTGATTTGGGATATTTGGCTTTGCTCTTGATATCTCTTGATATTTACGTTCGGCCATGTTCGGCCTCACATGGTCACATGGTCTCACCATTTGGTGTCTTCTTGTTGCTGGTTTGATAATGTTTGCTTCATACAGTCTGACAACGTGTTAAATGGTTGTCTCCGGACGTTGCGACGATCTCTCAACCTGTGATCGCCCACTGGTACAATTTCCAGAACTGTTGATCTAATCAGACTTCAATTTCAGCGGATGTATCATATACATCTTCGCCGAACATACAAACCAAACCTTCAAGTCTGCATGGCTGAAGAATATGGTGTACAGTAGGTTCATTTTTTGATGGACAAGCATCCTTGGTATCAAGCTACTTATACTGGAGTTTGGTGGTGAATATGAACATATTGTACTTCAGAATCATAACTTGCACGATAGAGTCAAAAAGGATTGGGGGCCAATCATGATCCATCACCAATAATCTATAGTGGTTTATCATAATTTTCCCATTAGAATGGCCATAAATGAGGGCGTATCCCATTTTCAGAAACCCCCATTCGGACGCAGACATTTCCAGCAGGCTTTGCGTCTTCGACCAAAGTTCCTGGAATTTTTGGCGCCTGAGCTGGTGGCTGATCGGGACTTCATTCTGGCTGCAGCTGCATGGCTGCAGTGGGTGCCATCAAAGTTGGGACGCAAGCCCTATCTTTAAACATACACACATGGTGGAAATATATATATATACTATACATATAGATATATATATATACTATACATATATATATATACATACTATACATATATATATATATACTATATATATATGCTATACATATATATATATATATGTATACATATATATACATATATATATATATGTATACATATATATATATACATATATATACATATATATATATATATACCATGGATGGAAATACTATATTATATATATATATGTGTTTAATGTATGGATTGAACACATTGAAGATTGGATTGGCAACCATGATTGAATGTGATAAAGTGGGTGGAATTGGATGTGGGCATGCCAGGCATTTCAGGTGACGGTGGATACCCCAATTGGTGCCGCAATTTTGATGAGACCATGGGTCAATTCCCAACATACCACGAGAATTTCCATGACCATTCTGCCACATCACCAGGTTGGGAGTTCTTTTTAACACGGCAATACATCCCATTTTTGTTATGGGAAAATCATCTCCAAAGCAGGAAGAAAAGGAGCGATTTTGAATGTTTGATTGCCTGAAGGTCAATTTCAGGCTAGCGCTATGGGACATGTTGCAGAAAAAACAACTGCAATGATTTTACAAGGCAACGAGTTGCCAAACTGGATGGAGGTTCGTTGCACCATTGAAGATCTGAAGATGTTCTATACAGATTATGAATGAATATGTTTCGCGAAACATCAGTCACGGGCCTTCATGAGAGTTTCATGGGACCGCCTCTGACTGACTTGTCTCAACAGTGCAGCAAAATGCAGGAATTATTATGAATTATTTACACATATTTGAACCATGGCCTTGGACATTTGGGTATTCGTGGTCTCTTAGGTGAAAGGCAACTGGGAAATCTTGGAGTTTTTGCCCGCGCACTTCACCAACGACCGAGAGGCGGCCTTTAGATGTCCTGCAGTGGGAAGCGGATGCAGCCCATCCCCAGGTCATTGTGGCTGGAGTCTCCCAGAGCAACTCTGCCCTGCGCTTGGCAAGTGAGGAGATCACCAGCAGATGAGTTCAAAATATGCTGCCAAGTTTACCAAGGACCAAGGTAGTATGAGAATGTGTTTGGATGTGTGTCGGTCAATGAACGGAATATGGAGACAATTAATAATATAATTACATTAAAATTGGTTACATGTGTAGAGTCATGACATGTGTTATAATTATGCATAATCAGCGTTTTGCAAGATATGAGTACGTATGAGAGCCCCCAACATTTTGCGAGCCAAAAACGACAAGAGAAAATCCAAGGTGTGCAGAAGGTCCAGCAGCTTAAGAGTAGTGATAAGCTTTGCTCCTATTTGCTTCATATACCTTGAAACATGACAACATAATTATCATAGTATATATTGTGATGAAAAGTATGGGATCGAGTTGGTTCATTTCTATTTGCTTCTCATATGATGTGATTTGGAAATATACTGACGGCAGTGAGAAGGCATGGCATGACTTTGATGTCTTACTCTTGTTGCTTTAGTTCTCATCAAATCAGGCATTGTATGATTGTGACGTTCAGGAGCTCCGAGGAGATCGAGAGTTGGTACTGAGCTGTGTGCAAAAGGCCAGCTGATTATTTGTGGAATGTATTGGATGTATCAGCTATTGGGGGCCCATGCGTGCCATATGGATCCATATGGTGCTATTGGCTATTGTTTATGATCGCCATAAATGGCATTGGTTTTGGCAGGTATTCCTTCCCTGGAACCTACCACATCCTGCAAAACTGCAATGATATATTACAGTATTTGTTTATATACAACTACACCAATGTAATTACAAGGTGAAGCACATCCTCTTGAACATGTTGGCAGCGGTCACCAAAAACCTTAGGATGACGCTTCATGCTTGCTTGGTAGCCGTGACATGCGACTTCTGTTTGTGCAGGGTTTTGGCGCTTTGCGCTATGCAGCCCCGAAGCTTTTGTCAGATCGTGAGGCCGCCTGGTCAGGAATCCTTCTGGGAAAGTGGTTCCCTTGATCTTCCGTGAACTGAACTTTCTATTTATAGACATTTCTGTTCGTTGCGGATTCCTCAGCAAGACCACACGTACCCACAGTTCAGAGAGAGCGGAACAAAGTGGTTTTGAAAGCCAAGGCATTTAAGTCATTTAAGTTTCTGGTGGGTTTGCTTGAAACAAACATACGTACAACCGAAAAAACCAGACCATATTCAGGGAAGCAGATCGGCCATTCGATACCACAAAGACGGTGAGGACGGTGTTTCATCGTTGATGCTGAACGGAGATGCTTTCAACCAACGCACAATACTTTTCACGTTTGACACATGTATCTAAAGTCTAAAGACTCATGTATCCAACTTGGATTCTTCTCATTTCAGATCGTGGCCGCTGCGGTGCAGCAAGACGTGCATTGCCTCCGACAAGCGGACAAGAGCTTGCAGGATGACAAGGAGCTGGGGAATGGACCACCCCATACCGGCCCATAGAGAGGATTTACCCAGACCAAAGGTGGATTTTATATGATTTTATAACATATAACGAAAGATAAGGATTTATCACGATTTATCCTATGGAGAATGGAGGATCTTACCCACCTCATGGCCGGACAAATGGTGATAAAACATGGGATTTGTAGGTGTCTTTTCGGCACGGTGATGGAGTTGGTGGATTTATCTATCAAATTAGTGGCTGATGATTGGACCTACCAAATTCAGGGGAATCCGGTATCATGACAGATAATTGGACGCAACATCATATACATTTAAATAAAAAATATAAAACAAACTAATTTGCTGACATTTCGGGTGCAAGTGTATCATCAGCTAATAAACCAGCGCCATCCATCTACACATTTGGGTGAAGTAAGGGACCTCACTGTCAGCCAGATCAAGCCATGACCATGGCAGCAAAGATCGCTCGTTTTTGCAGAGTTAAGGTAGCAGCAACGAAATCGATGCAACGGTAGTTATGGTAATGGAATGATGTGCCAGATTTGAGTCTCCAGTGGCGAATGAGAGGAGCTCATCCTGAGCGCAGTGAGAGCCAATGGCAGCGCTCTGCAGTATGCATCCCAGAGGCTGCGGAATGACCAAGAAGTGGGGGTCCCAAGAAATTGCTGCAGCTATGCGGGGATGAGTCAAATTTATCAACCTTTTTCAACCCATCAATTGGAAGGTTTCACAATACGGTGTTACTTTAAACATATGTTTATACTAAACATATATCTAAACAGAACCAACTTTGTGGGTCCTTTCACCCATTGGCAACCCATGGCCGGGCCCATATACGATTTGGGAGGAACTGATTGAGCCAAGACTTTGACAGTTTGAAGGTTCGTGACTCTGGAAAGGTATGGAAAAGTCCATGCACAGCAGGCCCCCAGTGTTTGCTTCTGCGGTGATGCGGGATGGGGATGAGGTCGTGCTTGAAGCAGTCGGCCAGCAACTTGATAGCAATCCGCTGCCAGTCGGGTTGCGGGAGCTGAAATGGATTTCATAGAATCACCATTAGAGTTTGTTTATCATCCATCAATGTATAACCAGTTTTGGAAACCATCCCCAATTTTGTTTAAAAACAATCTTCAATCGGAGCTTCGTGTTGGACATATCCATCAATCTATAGAAGTATTGCAAGTTTTGTGAGCATACACGGATGATCATCGGAGTTAGATGGGTGCTTATTCAAACATTTGTATGCACATGAATCTGCATTAAAGCGACAGGACAGGGGTAGCCTTTTGCGGCATTGTTTTCAGGTCATGCGTAAATCTTGTAGAATGGCAGATGGTGTCCATTGCACTTGAATTTGTTCCAAGTATGCCGAATCCTCATGCTCTCTATACAGCAATCGGATGTTGGGATATTCACACAGTCTAAAAAGTCGATACTCAAACGGTTTGGCAGATTTGTTTCTAGGTCTTTCCTGGCATCGTTCTCAGAAAGCCAATGGCCAATTCCCAATCTTCAGCCACAAGCTGGGATTATACCCCTTGCTTGGGGCAGATGAGAGGAACAATTAATCCCATCCGCTCAATCAGAACCCCCGGCTGGCCCCGCAATACACTGATCCACTCCCAAAGATTCCCAAAGCATGTTTATGCTATGTTTGTATATTAACTCAACCTCCACAAAAATGCAGAAAAGTCAACTCCTAGCAAATTGTAGTGCTAGTTTGCTCAAATCTTGTGACAACAATTCCTAATTTGTCCAACTTAAATGATTCTGTGCTTCCCCAATTTTTTTTGGCGGGGTTACTCTGGGGCTTAAGATCCAGGCGGCCTTGCAGGTCAAGGCACGCCCTGGACTTTGCCTCTGAAGCTCTGCGTGGTGAGCGCCAGGTGGTGCTGAAGGCGGTGAGAGAAAACAAAGGAGCCATGGCCTATGCCTCCAAGGCGCGGCATGGCGCGGCGATGCGAATCCGATTAAGGATAGATAAGGATATAGAATGGTATAGTATTGATAGATGTGATGGTGGAATGAATGGATTGCGTTTCATAGGTTGATCCGGTCTTGAGAAATCATCGCGAATGATGCGGTTGGCGGTTTCATTTTGATCATTTGATCCAGAGCCATTTCCGTTGTTTTATTTGCATGTTTTGATGATAGTGAGAAGATGAGTGGGACTGATTCTCGGAAGTGCTTTCGCCACAACACCGCAAGTCGGAGATTATTTTCGACCGATCTGTCACCGACGCAGGACCTACGTTCAGACGTGGAAGTTCTGCGAGCAGCACGAGGGGCAGAGGCTCAAGAGAACAAACGTTGGATCAGTTCCCGTTGGTGGGGACAGTGAACCAATGGGAAAATATGGGTAGTTGGCCACCAGGAATATGAATGTTGAAATCAAAAAGATCCGCAAGACTGGCTAGTTATATATATATATACATATATATAATTATATATAGTATAGTTATGTCATGTGTGTTCCTTGTTTGGCACACGATGATCGACTAGATTGACTAATCATGAAATAATCTGGTCATGATTGAAAAACAAACCATCAAGCAGACAATGACGGGAAAATCATGGCACCAGTTACTCTTCAGTTTCAAACCTGTTGTGCCAAGAGACTCTGGTGGTTGAGTTTCCCTTGCAGTTGAAGTTGTAGGATTGCACCTTGACTTCCTTTGTCGCATTGATCAAGGTGGTATCAATTGTTGAGGCTCAGGATGCCTTGAATCGGTTCAAAACCCTATTTGTGGATTGGAACCCTTCAGAGCCTTCAAAGCATCTGAAGCTATCGAACTAAACCACGTGGAATCATAGAATCCATGAATCCATGCCACATGGGAAACTGCGATTCTAGGCTGGCACAGGTACGAAGGTCGCAGGCCCTCATGTGTTCCCTCCACAGATGTGGCCAGGAGAGCTCGTAGCCGTGCGCAGCCAGCACTCTCCGGTCGAAAAATTGATGCAGGGAGAAGTGAGAAGCTGTGTTTGTTTCTCTCAGCTGAACAGTCTCCAAGATGATCGGTGGATAAGGCTAAAGTTGTATAATTTGGTACAATCAAATCAAACACGAGCAAATGCTGGATGCTCTCCTAGAAGGTCCTAGACCAAGACAAATGAAGAGCACCGCTGTCATAAATCAACCATTGCAGCCTGTGTTGGACTGAAGAGTTTCAAGCGTTACACTGAAGGGGGTATCACGGGCAAAACCATGATACTTGTACTATTGTACTGGTGCTGGACGTGGAGTGAAATGGAGCATACCGCTAAACATGGCCATTTAATTTGAAGTATCATATGTCCATATATGTCCAGCAATATTTATCAATAGTTGACAGTTATTTGACATATTTTGAAATATTATTTAAGGGCTGCCGCCCCCTGCCGCCGACCCCTGGCATCTCCTGAACAAGGAGAGCCCTGAACAAGGGCCGGTCGGGCGCTCAGCAAACAGTACGTAGTCTCCTGAACAAGGAGAACCCCGAACAGGGGTTAGTTTTTTCGATCCATGTGTAGAGTGTGGAGTGTAAAATGTGAAGTATGAAGTGTGGAGTGTAGAGTGTGAGTGCGGAGAGTGTCAAGTGTAGACTGTGAGACTGAAGTGTGGAGTGTGGAGTGTAGAGTGTGGAGTGTGGAGTACAAGTACCGAGTGTAGAGTGGAAAGTGTGGAGTGGAAAGTGTGGAGTGTAAAGGGCGGAGTGTAAAGTGTAGAGCGGAAAATGTGGAGTGTAAAAGGGGGAAGTGTAAAGTGTGGAGTGTAATGTGTTGTGGAGTGTTGGAGTGCAGAGGGTGGAATGTAAAGTGTGGAGCGTAAAGGGCAAAGAATGGACATGCAACTGTGGAGTGTAAAGTGTGGAGTGTAAAGTGTAGAGTACAAAGTGAGGAATGTTTTCATGGACATTAAACTGTGGAGTGTAAAGTGTGGAGTGTAAAGTGTAAAGTACAAAGTGAGGAGTGTAAAGTGTGGAGTGTAGAGTGTGGAGTGTAAAGCGTTGAGTGTAAAGTGTGAAGTGTGGAGTGTAAAGTGTTGAGGGTAAAGTGCGAAGTGTGGAGTGTAAAGTGTAGGGTGTAAAGTGTGGAGTGTTAAGTGGGGAGTGTAAAGTGCGGAGCGTAAAGTCTGGAGTGTAAAGCGTGGAGCGTAAAGTGCAGAGTGTGGAGGTCAAAGTGTGGAGTGTGGAGTGTAGAGTGTGGAGTCTGTATCGGCGGGGTGCTCCGCGGACGCGCTCCCCTGGAAAGCGCCCGGCAGGTGGCCAAAGGACACGCTGCTGGGCCGCCAAGGGCGCCGGGACACGTTTCGGTGCAGCCGAGTGCCTAACGTTGCTTTCTGAAACCAGAAGAAAATCCTGCTGGGCCGCGACGGGTGCCGGGACACGTTTCGGTGCAGCCTAGTGCCTAACGTTGCTTTCTGAAACCAGAAGAAAATCTCCAAAAAAGCGCCCGGCAGGTCGCCAAAGGACACGCTGCTGGGCCGCCAAGGGCGCCGGGACACGTTTCGGTGCAGCCTAGTGCCTAACGTTGCTGTCTGAAACCAGAAAAAAATCTCCAGGAAAGCAGCCTAGTGCCTAACGTTGCTTTCTGAAACCAGAAGAAAATCTCCAGGAAAGCGCCCGGCAAGTCGCCAAAGGACACGCTGCTGGGCCGCCAAGGGCGCCGGGGCACGTTTCGGTGCAGCCGAGTGCCTAACGTTGCTTTCTGAAACCAGAAGAAAATCTCCAGGAAAGCGCCCGGCAGGTCGCCAAAAGACACGCTGCTGGGCCGCCAAGGGCGCCGGGACACGTTTCGGTGCAGCCTAGTGCCTAACGTTGCTTTCTGAAACCAGAAGAAAATCTCCAGGAAAGCGCCCGGCAGGTGGCGAAAAGAGACGCTGCTGGGCCACCAAGGGCGCCGGGGCACGTTTCGGTGCAGCCTAGTGCCTAACGTTGCTTTCTGAAACCAGAAGAAAATCTCCAGGAAAGCGCCCGGCAGGTCGCCAAAAGACACGCTGCTGGGCCGTCAAGGGCGCCGGGACACGTTTCGGTGCAGCCTAGTGCCTAACGTTGCTTTCTGAAACCAGAAGAAAATCTCCAGGAAAGCGCCCGGCAGGTGGCCAAAAGAGACGCTGCTGGGCCGCCAAAGGCGCCGGGACACGTTTCGGTGCAGCCTAGTGCCTAACGTTGCTTTCTGAAACCAGAAGAAAATCTCCTGGAAAGCGCCCGGCAGGTCGCCAAAGGAGACGAGGTCGCCAAAGGACACGCTGCTGGGCCGCCAAGGGCGCCGGGGCACGTTTCGGTGCCGCCTAGTGCTTAACGTTGCTTTCTGAAACCAGAAAAGAATCTCCAGGAAAGCGCCCGGCAGGTCGCCAAAGGACACGCTGCTGGGCCGCCAAGGGCGCCGGGACACGTTTCGGGGCAGCCTGGTGCTTAACGTTGCTTTGCGAAAATTTCCAGGAAAGCGTGGCAAGGGCGCCGTGAGGCATTTGGAGGCAGGCTAGTGCCTAACGTTGCTTTCTGAAGCCGCTAGAAAAGCTCTTGGAAAGCGCCCAGAATGCCGCAAAAGCCTCAAGCCAGGCTACTGCCCCCAGAATGCAGCAACAGCCTTTCGCAAGGGCGTCGCGAAGCATTTGGAGGCAGGCTAGTGCCTAACGTTGCTTTCTGAAGCCATTAGAAAAGCTCTTGGAAAGCGTGGCAAGGGCGCCGCGAGGCATTTGGAGGCAGGCTAGTGCCTAACGTTGCTTTCTGAAGCCACTAGAAAAGCTCTTGCTTTCTGAAACGAGAAGAAAATTTCCAGGAAAGCGCCCGGCAGGTCGCCAAAGGACACGCTGCTGGGCCGCCAAGGGCGCCGGGACACGTTTCGGTGCAGCCTAGTGCCTAACGTTGCTGTCTGAAACCAGAAAAAAATCTCCAGGAAAGCAGCCTAGTGCCTAACGTTGCTTTCTGAAACCAGAAGAAAATCTCCAGGAAAGCGCCCGGCAGGTGGCGAAAAGAGACGCTGCTGGGCCGCCAAGGGCGCCGGGGCACGTTTCGGTGCAGCCTAGTGCCTAACGTTGCTTTCTGAAACCAGAAGAAAATCTCCAGGAAAGCGCCCGGCAGGTCGCCAAAGGACGCGCTGCTGGGCCGCCAAGGGCGCCGGGGCACGTTTCGGTGCAGCCTAGTGCCTAACGTTGCTTTCTGAAACCAGAAGAAAATCTCCAGGAAAGCGCCCGGCAGGTCGCCAAAGGACGCGCTGCTGGGCCGCCAAGGGCGCCGGGGCACGTTTCGGTGCAGCCTAGTGCCTAACGTTGCTTTCTGAAACCAGAAGAAAATCTCTAGGTAAGCGCCCGGCAGGTCGCCAAAGGACACGCTGCTGGGCCGCCAAGGGCGCCGGGGCACGTTTCGGTGCAGCCTAGTGCCTAACGTTGCTTTCTGAAACCAGAAGAAAATCTCCAGGAAAGCGCCCGGCAGGTCGCCAAAAGACACGCTGCTGGGCCGCCAAGGGCCGCCAAGGGCGCCGGGGCACGTTTCGGTGCAGCCTAGTGCCTAACGTTGCTTTCTGAAACCAGAAGAAAATCTCCAGGAAAGCGCCCGGCAGGTCGCCAAAGGAGACGAGGTCGCCAAAGGACACGCTGCTGGGCCGCCAAGGGCGCCGGGGCACGTTTCGGTGCAGCCTAGTGCCTAACGTTGCTTTCTGAAACCAGAAGAAAATCTCCAGGAAAGCGCCCGGCAGGTCGCCAAAAGACACGCTGCTGGGCCGCCAAGGGCGCCAAGGGCGCCGGGGCACGTTTCGGTGCAGCCTAGTGCCTCACGTTGCTTTCTGAAACCAGAATAAAATTTCCAGGAAAGCGCCCGGCAGGTCGCCAAAAGACACGCTGCTGGGCCGCCAAGGGCGCCGGGACACGTTTCGGTGCAGCCTAGTGCCTAACGTTGCTTTCTGAAACCAGAAGAAAATCTCCAGGAAAGCGCCCGGCAGGTCGCCAAAAGAGACGCTGCTGGGCCGCCAAAGGCGCCGGGACACGTTTCGGTGCAGCCTAGTGCCTAACGTTGCTTTCTGAAACCAGAAGAAAATCTCCTGGAAAGCGCCCGGCAGGTCGCCAAAGGAGACGAGGTCGCCAAAGGACACGCTGCTGGGCCGCCAAGGGCGCCGGGGCACGTTTCGGTGCAGCCTAGTGCCTAACGTTGCTTTCTGAAACCAGAAGAAAATCTCCAGGAAAGCGCCCGGCAGGTCGCCAAAAGACACGCTGCTGGGCCGCCAAGGGCGCCAAGGGCGCCGGGGCACGTTTCGGTGCAGCCTAGTGCCTAACGTTGCTACACGCTGCTGGGCCGCCAAGGGCGCCGGGACACGTTTCGGTGCAGCCTAGTGCCTAACGTTGCTTTCTGAAACCAGAAGAAAATCTCCAGGAAAGCGCCCGGCAGGTGGCCAAAAGAGACGCTGCTGGGCCGCCAAAGGCGCCGGGGCACGTTTCGGTGCAGCCTAGTGCCTAACGTTGCTTTCTGAAACCAGAAGAAAATCTCCTGGAAAGCGCCCGGCAGGTCGCCAAAGGAGACGAGGTCGCCAAAGGACACGCTGCTGGGCCGCCAAGGGCGCCGGGGCACGTTTCGGTGCAGCCGAGTGCCTAACGTTGCTTTCTGAAACCAGAAGAAAATCGCCAGGAAAGCGCCCGGCAGGTCGCCAAAAGACACGCTGCTGGGCCGCCAAGGGCGCCGGGACACGTTTCGGTGCAGCCTAGTGCCTAACGCTGCTTTCTGAAACCAGAAGAAAATCTCCAGGAAAGCGCCCGGCAGGTGGCCAAAAGAGACGCTGCTGGGCCGCCAAAGGCGCCGGGACACGTTTCGGTGCAGCCTAGTGCCTAACGTTGCTTTCTGAAACCAGACGAAAATCTCCTGGAAAGCGCCCGGCAGGTCGCCAAAGGAGACGCTGGTGGGCCGCCAAGGGCGCCGGGACACGTTTCGGTGCAGCCTAGTGCTTAACGTTGCTTTCTGAAACCAGAAAAGAATCGCCAGGAAAGCGCCCGGCAGGTCGCCAAAGGACACGCTGCTGGGCCGCCAAGGGCGCCGGGACACGTTTCGGGGCAGCCTGGTGCTTAACGTTGCTTTGAGAAAATTTCCAGGAAAGCGTGGCAAGGGCGCCGTGAGGCATTTGGAGGCAGGCTAGTGCCTAACGTTGCTTTCTGAAGCCACTAGAAAAGCTCTTGGAAAGCGCCCAGAATGCCGCAAAAGCCTCAAGCCAGGCTACTGCCCCCAGAATGCAGCAACAGCCTTTCGCAAGGGCGTCGCGAAGCATTTGGAGGCAGGCTAGTGCCTAACGTTGCTTTCTGAAGCCATTAGAAAAGCTCTTGGAAAGCGTGGCAAGGGCGCCGCGAGGCATTTGGAGGCAGGCTAGTGCCTAACGTTGCTTTCTGAAGCCACTAGAAAAGCTCTTGGAAAGCGCCCGGAATCCTGGAAAAGCTTTTTCTCGGGCGCGCTCCCCCTGCAGATTGCTGGGGTCGGCGGATATATTATTATACTGTATAGAATATGAGTGAATATGATATGACAAATTAATGATTAATCAGTATACCCCATGTATATCCCATGTTTGGACAAACCCTTTTAAAGAAGACATGTTGTCTAAACACCGATGGTTGCGGCTCACCCCGAGTCCCGTCGCGGTGCAGGGTCCAACTTTCCTTATGCCACGGAGATTGTGAAGAAGCTGAACGAGGAGGGAAAAGACCGTTTTGATTTGAAAGTTGAGATGGCACAAGCTTCTAATATATCATGTTACCATATGTTACGTAACTGTATATATATAATTAATTATATATATATATGTTTATATTTTATGTATTCATTTGCCTGCGCATGATGTTTTTCTTACTAGCGTTCTTATGATCTACTTGTATTGTCGTTAGTATGATTTCTGTATATACTTTATTTATACATCCATATTGATTGATGGTTTTACATTGGCACCTGGGCATCGATTCCGAGGCTCCTTTGGAGCTGCTACAGGTGGGGCTTCCTGTGGCAGGAAACCAATTCGAAGCCCCCGTTGGGTATGTGTATTAATTACTGTTTTTTTACCATTAACGATTGGGATATTATATTAGGATATAGGTATTAACTGTAAACAAGTATGGGGAGAGAACCAATATAGATGCTAGTTGTTTGATGGATGACAGTCATTGATGATTGTAGCTGTCAAACACGGGTGATTTGAACCAAAAAATACGGAAATTGACCCAGAACTATTCATGGGGATTCAAACCAGGAATGATGGTTCAAGTTGGGAAAAAAACACTTGGTTTGTTGGGATTGTTCAGATCCAATCCAAGTAGGAACCCCTGCGAACAACTATATATTAGAGGGGAACGAGTTTGGGAGTCGCCAAAATAGGGCCCTTAAAGTTCAGATGCTGCCCGGGGGTGAAGCAGTGACCATGTCTTCATTCAGGCGAGTGCTTGCACACAACCTCCTTCCGACATTCAGGACACCATGGATTTTGCCAATATGGGACCATTGGGACCATGCATCAAACAGCGATAAATTCAATGATAAACATCCCATTAACCAATTTCATGGGAAGAGATGTGATGAATTTATTGGACTTAAGTTGATAGAAGTGGTTTCTTCCAGCTGGTGCCCCTTTGGAGGAGCGGCTGTTGGCCATAGGTTTTAACACCATCTTTGATTATTTGTTTCTGCACGGCGACCCAGTGATGTGACACTGGAACTAGATTGACTGGTGTGATGGGTGAGGAAAGCCTCACATTTGGTAAGATTAGTTTTTAACCAGCAAATGTGACATTGAACAAATCATGGTTTTGTGTCTTGGGGAAAAGGTCTTGTGCGCCGAAGCACCACTAGCACAATATGTTTGCTTATCAAGGGCAAGAGAGCCGGTTGCATCTACATAGTTCCAAGAATTGAAAGCTGTTTGCCCGTTGAGAACCCAAACGCTTCGTCAAATTTCCTGGAACAAATGCCAATACTGTGCATATGTGAAGCGGCTCATGGATCGGTCAGCTATGTTCCACAAAAGCCTGTGAAGCCGACTGATGGGTCCGTCAGTATATTTGTATTTGGCCGAGGCTGCGTGAGTGCTCACAAGCAGTAGCAGATGCAGGTGGATCTGAATCTGAGTGCCTACTAGTGACTCGAGCTTCTGCAATGATGTTTTTTTGGATCGTTTTGGAGGTGACAATTGAAAATGAGTACTTTGACTTTGCTTGGACATGTGCAGGACTCCGCACAATCCTTGTTTTTAACGGACATTACGTAGTGGATTTGGCAGTTTGAACATAGTGGTAGAAGAGCTGACAGTCGTAAAGGAGGAGTGCTACATGCCCAATGTTTCTTCACAGGAATATATAACCCTCTCTACTGGGTAAACACAGTTGATTCCTTTTTCAAATCTCTTGAAATATCTTCAGATATCACGAAATATAATATCCTGAAATATGCCTGAAAATGTATGTTCCCCAAGTAGGGACCCCCATGTTCGAATCCACCCTACCAGGCACCGCTGCCACCATCCTTCTGGCTGCGGCGGTCTCGGATTTTTATGTGTCCCTTGGTTCTGAGAAATTGGGGAATCTCTGCGGCAGTTGAGAAATTTTACCCTCTGGTAATTTAACACATAGCTATTAAACATGGCCCATTTATAGTTGATTTACCTATTAAAAATTGTGATTTTCCATAGTTATGTTAGTTTACCAGAGGGTAAATGGAAACAAGTGCAATCAGAAAAACCCTACTGCAATGGGTACAAACAACTGAAATCATTGACCATCATTTACCCATATGACTTTGGCTACATTGTGATGGTAGTTGAATGTCATTGATCATATGGCTAATAAATATATGGATATACAGGATTTTATGAGATACCTGTATCATCCATGTGTGGCATATTTACATACATATAGCACGTTTTGATGATTATTTGATTGAATGGAGGTAAATATACCATGCTGATTATGTTAAGTAGTCAGGAACGGAGATATAATCCACTTACCGGATAAAACCAGAGTAGATGCAACCAAGAAGTATGAATATTATATTGCTTCGTGGGCACTAGATTACTATATATATATATACAATAATAAGGGTAGTCAAAACTTCTAATTACATGAAATATACAGTACTGAAATGCATGGTTGTGTTTGGAACTTTAGTGATGCCCCAGATGTTTTTGCACTCAAAGATCACTATCTTCACGGCAAACTTCTGGGGTCAGCAGCCCCCAGGCCTGAATCAGAGATGGCTACAGAGAAGATCCAGAGTCGAGTTTGGGCCCAGGATCCTTTCAGCCATGCCCAGTAAATCTATCCGCACTTCAAAGTGGCATCAAGTGGAACAGCTATACTGCCTGACAATGATTTTAGATGACGCCAGAAGAGCAAACGAAATGGCACCTTTCATACTATGATCTGGATATGCGTCAACATTGCGTACAAAGGAGTTGTACATCTGCTTTATAGTACTAAACCTGAGTAAACCATTCATTATCATTCATTTTGGGGTCCAAGAGTTTTGACCCATACCAATTTCATCCCAGTTCATGATTGGCTTGGGTTCAATCAGCTGCCCAGCTACTGTAATTGCTGGCCCCACGAGGCTCATGATGGCCTCACTGTACAGTTGCGAAACGTCCCAAAGTTGCAAGGGGCTCAGTCGTGAGGAACGAGGTCTCTCAGCAAAACTTGGTTGAGTACAATACTTATACTTGTAGCTTAATTACTGAGTTGTTTGCAGGTTATTTGCAGTTTATCCAAGATTGTCCATGGTCTTAAAAAGGGCTTCAAGGGTCACATCACATGGGTTTGTCCTGAGAAAGGGGGTATGCCCCGAAATTGCCATGAAAATCTTGGGGAAGAGATAAGCCAGTGGATTTTGGGGATTTTGGGGTACACAACATATATCAACATATGAAAAATATTGTTGTTGTTGGACAAAGCCATTGGGGGGACCGGTTAAACATGGTTAAACTGAGACCACTGGCATCACGTTGCCATGTTGCCACCGCGTGAGGCTGGGTGCCGTGCGCCTTTGGGCACCGCAGGCGGGGCAGTTTTTATTGCCACCTGGCTGGCGTGTCTATGTCCAGCAGAGTGCTTTTAACATCTAACAACAATTGCTGTAATCTGTAATCTGATGTCATCCCATTTCCGAAAAAAATAAAATAGGCCCCAGAAACTACTGGCTTAGGCCCTGGCCCTACTTAAACATCTTATGGACTGAAGTTTGCAGTTTGACTGAAACAAGCAGGATATCCACTGTGAGGATCCCTTCAACCAAGATTCTTCTATGCCAAAGTAGCCTCGCTGAACAGCTTCTTCAGGTTGCCTGTATACTTGTTCAGCTATACAAACACAAAGTTCATCAGATTATGGTTCTGTTAATTGTAAGTTTGTTTGCTTCAATTTAGTTTTCCCCCACCTGCCAGTTGAGGGTCTCTAGACTTTAACAAAGGTGCAACTCCTTCTTCTTCCTCTCCTTCCTCTCCTTCTTCCTCTCCTTCTCTTCTTCCTCGCTAGCTGCGGATGCTGTGGAGTGTGGCTGGACCCGAACACATGCCAGAGAGAATGCCAGAAAGTATGTCAGAATAAATGCCAGATAGAATGTCAGATAGAATTTCAAAGTATATGCCAGAAAGAATGTCAGATAGAATGTCAGAATAGATATGCATACATATGCCATATATATTATATATATACTTCCAGATGCTATGTCAGAAACTATGTCAGAATATTGTTTCAGGGTGGGGATCACTCGAAGAAAGTAATTCACTGTTCAAGGTTTGCTGGGCCGAGGGTTCTCCTGCACCCATCTTCACCTTCCTTCACCCTACTCCACCCTGCTTCACCCTGCTTCACCCTTCTTCACCCTACAGCCAGGCCTTCATTTTGTCTTTCAAGTTAGAGCCGCGCACCCAATAGCACCATCGACAGCTTGATATAAACGAAACAGACGTGCCTGGCTGTAGCGAATCTGCAATGCTCCTTGGATTTCCAACGGGATTTGTTTTTCCAAAATTTCCAAAGTTTGAGTCCCTAGCATTCCAAAGCTGGAGAAGAAATCCTTTGGAAGGCAAGTTCCCTAAAACATCCTGGGAGTCTCTCCAAACGTTCCACTGGGATCCACTGGGAAAGTTTTCAATCTGGGGAAGTTCTCTCAGTGTCTAAGGACCAATCCCAACATCCTCCTGGCCAAAGCTGCTGGAGCGTTGAAGAAGTGCTCCAGGTCATGTGAGGCCGAGGGAACGACCAAGTTTTTCCGATGTTTGGGGTACCAAATGACCACCCTGCACCATGTTCCACCGCCCCACCAGCCCCAGCAGCCCCAGCAACCTTTTCTTGGTATAGGTACAAAGTGGATGCCGCCAGCAGCTCAGACAACCACAACTTCTCTGACACTGAAAGGAGATGGCATTGAAGTCGGATATGAAAGGATCTTGAGATTTGTTTGGTGTCGATTTTCTCAGATGTGGTCATTCCATCCACAGGTGATGTTGAACTGTTGCCTCTCAGCTGACTTCAGGTTTGCTCGAATGTCCTTCAGACCATCCGCGACTGGGTCACCATCGTTGAAGTTGACAAAGCAGGGCCGGCCGTGGAATGAAACTAAACGAAGCAAATAGAAAGGTCTACAGAGGTTGTTTGCCAAGTGGGTATGGGTGAATATGGGTGAATACAATCTACTTGTAACGTCAAAATTAGTCTTGTGAGGATTCCAGTATAGTATAGTATAGTATCTTGGCAAAGTCGTGCAAAGTCTAGTATGTGAATATGTTTGAGATGGTCACTATAGTCACGTACAGTGTCACTACAGGCTACCAGTGGTTTGACCCGCAAATTGCCAACTCTTTCCCCAGGTTCAGTATCACCAGTCATTTCTTGATGAAATATCCCTTGTGAAGCTTTGGTTCCAGTCACCTCATCCACAAAATTGGTCATACCAATGCCTGGTTTGTTTTATGCTTAGGTTTCCGGTTTGATCCTTACGCTTCCTTTGTAGATGATTTGTTTCGGTTGTATCATGTGCGATCCCCCAACTTATCCCGACTCCTGTCGTCACTCAAATTGTTGATTGCTACATTGCCAGATTGGATAACTAGATGTTGTGGGTAAATGTTGGTAATATCATGTCACAAACCAAATCATATATTTCAATATATTTCATGATATTTCACATATCATATAATAAATATTATAATACAGCATATATTTTTTGTGTATTATCAATTGTCAGGCTTGGGTACCCCATCAAAGGGTATCTCATCAGCCATGGCTGGCCAGAATGAAAAATTATAAATCATATTTAAAATAATATGATTGAAATATCAAAAAATATCAAAACATTGAAACACATGATTAAACATTAAAACAAATTAAAACAAATAAAAACAAATTACTCCGTGCCCATCACTTTTTTTTTCTGTGCTAGGTTGTGCTGTACTTAGTCTTAGGTGGCAAGTCTGAAACAGACTAGAACATTGTTTGCAATGACCCCTGCTTGCTGCACCTCTACTTCTTTCAGTCTATATTCTACTTTGTTTGACATTGAACCCTGCCAAAATGATGATGGAACTATTAAGATAGAATCTTTGTAATGATGATGCATATTAAATACAAGTTGTTTTAACACTTAATCACATCTGGGGTCGAGGGTTGCTCTGATATTAGGGATTGCTGGCAAGGGCCAATTTTATTACAATTACAGTTACCCCAGTTGGTGCTTACAAACTGTGAACAATTGTGCACAGGACCCAGTGATTTCTCCACGGTGGTTGACTCCGAAGCAAACTCCACTCTACGTGTGATTGCCCCCAGGAGCACATCCTGGCACATCAAGAGGGGAAGCCCCTCCAGGGTTGCGGAACAAATTACAAAAACAAAAGTATACATAAAAAAAAAACAAAAAATGCCAAAAATTAGAAAAAACTGAAAAAATTAGAAAAAAATAGAAAACATTAGGAAAAATTAGAAAAAAATAGAATAGAATAGAAAAAAAAAGAAAAAAATAGAAAAAAATAAAAAATAAAAATAAAATAACAACAATTAAAAAAAATTAAAAAAAATATACAAATTTTGGCACCTCCTGCGCCAAATTTTAGTATTTGATTTAGTCTGTGTAGACTAATTTTAGTATTGCTGCAATGTCCTTTTTTTTGGCAGACTTTATCAGAAAATTTTACAATATATTGAAACATTTTTTTGAGGAGAATTGCATCTACATACAAATAAAAAGTGCCAAGTGCTTACAATATAGCTGCGAGTGAATATAGCACATGCTTAAACAAGACAAGTACAGTGCGTCACAACCAATTACTTGATAATAGTGTATTTCAATACATAGTCAATCTTTTGATATTCTTATTACATTGGCCAGAAAGACAGTGCAGTACTATGTCACATCAGAATGTATGAGAAGGGGAGGTCGAGGTGGGGCCACAATGGCTACCAGGGCCACAGCATATGTCACATCATGTTTGCCCCAAAAACAGGTATGAAACATGATTATCATTGAAATTTAATCTAATGAAATCTAATGAAATCTAATGTTTCAAAATGATTTATAATTTGTCAATTTGTTTTAATTTGTTTCCAAGCTGATGAGAACCCCTCTGATGAGACTCCTTGTTCTCACAGAAGATATTATCACGTATCTATACTACATTACATATATGCATATATATATATATATAGAGGATATATACAGATATTCCCACATCATCCATGGATCCCAAAATGGGTTGAAGGGATCCTTGCTGCCGTTGCAGTGCCGTATCGCGGCAGGCTTCCTCCATCGAGGTGCCCAGCGAGATTTCCGGCGAAGAGCGCGAGCCTGTCCAGGTCAAAGATCGTCGTCCAAGGGCTCCTAAGGGGTTGTGAAATCTTGTGGGAAAAAAAAGCCATGAATCTGCTTATAAATCCAAAAGATATTATTATCTTTTTTAGATTTTTTTTGAATCCATTTTGAAGGCGATGTTTTTGAACATGTGGGAAAGGTTGTGTCTTTGAAAGTTGGGGGCTTGTTTTTGCAGTGGGGAGCTCCATGGCATCATGGGTAAACCACTTAGCCAAATGGGTTCATCCAATGAGAAGCAGTGGTAGTTGTTTGAACAGACAGCTACCAAGGTTGATTTGAAAGAACTAATTCATGGTGATGCAGTACTGTATGATACTTTGCGACCCATTGCAGTATTGATATTCGAGACGTTTTCGTCAATAGAAACCTGGGGCAAGTTGTTCGATCTCACCGGGATGCCACCAGCAGCCAAAATGGCTTATAGAATGTGATAGAACGATTAATGGAATGATATGGAATGATTAATGGGGGTCATTCCATTTAATGGGGGTCTTTAATATGGATGATTAATGGCTTACACCCCCCAAACATCCAAAGAGTTATGGAGTCAGATCCGAGAAATCCAACCTGGTCACCGACCTGGGAAAAGCCGCAGGTTTCGGGCGTTCGTAGTCGCCGGGTGGAGCGGAAGGACGCCAAGAGTGTAGATGTGGAACGCCAAGAGCGACGAACGCTGGACGATGCCCGGGAAGTCACCAGTGAACCATGAAAAATGGTAAAAATGGGGGGAAATTGGCAGCAAAGTTTGAGGATGTTACCATGAATGGGCTGAATGGGACTGCTGAATGTGTAGTTTGATTTCGATATGATTTACAGTGTACAGTATTGATGGTGGAGGGTATCTAAGATTGGCGATGTTTATGGGGGAACTGCTGAGGATAAGAATTGATTCACTGCCTAGCTAGTTCCATCCTGCGGATATTGTATTTCAGATAGTTCTCAATATTTGATTGGGATTGCAGGGCCATCACGTATGTATGTATATAATATATATATATATACCTGCATCCTCCAAAGACCTCCAAAACGGTAGGTCTTTCCAAAAAACTTGGTTTTCATATCAAAAACCTGGTTATTTTGAAAGGGCCGTACTTTACAGCAAAGGGGCGTACTTTCTCAACCCATCATCAAATTCCATATATATAGAGACTTATACATCATATGTTTATTGGAATTGAGATGCTGCAGTGGAAGAGCTGCAGAGGGCCAAAACTGCCACAACACACCACGACGTGCCGCTCAGATGTCGAGCTCCATTGGAGGGTTGAGAACGATGCTTGTTCTGACACTGACAAGATAGTGATTGATCAGCAGATAGAGGTTCTCACTTCGTAGCGATGAAGAATGCCAAATTAGCTTCAGTATGCTTCAGTACATTATCGATATTGATAAACATTCTCTATATAAATCAATATAAATAATTAGTTTAGAAATAGTTTATACAGTAAATAGTCTGTAAATAGTCTGTAAATAGTCTGTAAATAGTTTATATAGTTCATAAATAGTCCATAAATCTGTAATCTTCTGAGCTCTGGATCGTAGGGAACCAACTGCACACGATGCCTCCAATACCTAAGGTACCCCTGATCCGAAGCGTCATCGAGATGCACAGCGAGAAGATGGCTTCAGGCGGAATCGACAATGCTTCGGAGTTGACTTTCACCAGTGTCGAACTGGATGGATATGGATGGATATGGAGATTTTAACCAGCAAGAAATTTGGAATTGATCAACAAAAATGGGAAATCCATCATTTGGATTAATTTGGGGTGTGCCCATACCCCATTCGTCAATGGTGAGCTAATGATAAACCATGGGATGTTGGATTCCCTGTTTTTGCTCTTCGAGATGAAACATGATGATCATATAGATGATTATATAGACTATTTATAGACTATTTATAGACTATTGATGATTATTGTTTGTTTTTTCTTGTGGCCAAATCATGCACCACAAGACAGACACTTTAGAAGCTGCACTTTCCTGTATGCCCCCCCCCGTGCGTCGGCGCAGGGGGTTCCTCCGGATATGCTTGACGATGAGTAAAGATCACCCGGCTGCCCGCTGACAGACACGGGCGGATGCGGGGATTTTCACATTGCATGGTGAAAATCTAAAAATCAAAAGCAGTTGGCAAGTCATTACTTACCCATGACATACATACAGCATCATACAGCATCATACAGCATCATACAGCATCATACAGCATCATACAGCATCATACAGCACATGGATTTTGTGACAGTTCCGGCAATGGTGACATCACTTGAGTTGGCTTTTCATGGGTTCGCATAACCGTGGCAGAAACAACATGGACAATTGCGGACAAAGTTTCAGCATCAATATGAAGAGCCTCATGTCAGAAGCTGTTACGTTTCATTGGTGGCTCAAGCTGGGATACAGCTGAGCCAGCTTTTTGCAGCCATTAATGAGAAGCCGATTGATGATTTCCTCTATGGAGGTTTGATGATAAACAATGATCAACATCCAAAGCTGCAAATCAGGAATCAACCACCAAAAGAGCCCCATTGACAGTCTTCCACGTATTTTCAAACTTCCAAGCAGATCCAACGATTCGATTTTCCAGGATAGAACTCCTGAGCATTTCACAGCCCACATAACCATACCGGACCATACTTCACCAAACTCCACATCAAGCCGCATCAACCCCATCAACCTCCAAGACACAAGAACAGCAGACATCTTCAGACGTCAGTTGCCGAATTTTGCCTCCTGCGGATGCAGCGCGGATCTCCAGAGTGAAGCAGTCAGGGACAAAAGCTGAACACGTTATCCCTGTGACTGCGTACTTTGTGTGTGTGGCTGGTGAATCTATTGAATTCCTCGGAGTTGTTTCCGGTATTTTCCGGTTATGTTGTTTCACTGTGTGACGGGTAGGAAAGTTCTGCAAAGTCATGGGCATGGGCCCAACTATGTCAATGTATGTTGGTCTTTCGAGATCTTTTGAGTGTGATGTTTTTCTCCCCGTTTCTCAGCCGTTTCTCAGTGCTGGAGGCCCTGGGGCAGCAAAGGCCTGGTGTGATGCAATTGACGACGGTTGTGTCGGACTGTTCGGAACTTCAGGGAGGTGAACTATGGTGAACTATGGTGAAATTGGAAGAAAATGGAAGATTCTAAGTTGGAAAGGTGACTCTGGAAAAGCTTGGAATGGAATTTTGCGTGCTTAGCTGGATTTTGACTCTATACTTCTCAAGAAGCAGATCAAGATCTGGGGATGCGATTGAAGAAATCTGAAATGGTGGCACTTTTTGGTGCTTGTCATGCCCTCAGGCAGCTGGGGAGATGCCAGCTGGGGCGACGCCAGCTGGGGCGATGCCAGCTGGGGCAACACGAGTTGGGGAGGCGACACCAAAGTGGGGAATTTTGGGTTGTTGGACAAAGATATTTGACCTCTTTGAGTTGGACAAAGAAGTTGGAGACTTTTGTTGAAGCTGAAGCAACAGGAGGGGGCAGGTGAGGAACAACTTAAGATTTGGTCTGAATTTCTGAATTGAAAGGTTGGTTTGTCATCTACGGGTAGATCCCTGCCCTCTCAGGCTACGATGAAGATGAGTGGTGGGGACAGCCATGGCAAGCCGAGGCACCAAACCACACCGAGTAAAGGGTTTGTTTACAAATGGGATATACGGATATACCATGGATTACCATGGTATACCCCAAATTGGAAATGTTAATGGGGGAATGAAAACAACTGGATTTTGGTGCCGTATTCCTGGACAAAGCCTTAAATGTGATCAAGAGATATTAAGATTATCAAAGCACAGGATTTCAGGAACATACATGTGTATATTATAATTATATTATGTATATATATATATGTAATATATATATATATTAGTAATAATAATAATAGTAGTAATAATAATATTGACATGTTATGACATTTTCATAGCCTATGTGCATCAAGGCATCACAAAAAATCGGGTTTTGTGCGATGGACCATTCCCCAGGATGCTGAAGCCGTGGGATCTATGGGATCCATGGCTGAAGGTGCTGGCCCGGGGATGCCCGGGGTGTCACATGTGAAGACACAGAAACGATGTGGCAGTGTGTCAAAACCCTTGTACCCCTGTAGTTCACATCAAAATAGCTGGTAAATGGATGTTCATCCCACTAAAAATGGTATTAATAGGTATTGATCCATACCCATGTGGTTTTCCAACTATGACAAAAAAAGTTGGTGGTTGGAAAAAAGTTGGAAAACTTCGAATTGATGTTGATTTGTTCAAGTGGTTCAAGCATACTTGGGATGCCGACAAGGATTTTGTTCAGCTCAACCACCAAGCAGAAAATGTCTTTCCGGAACATCTTACTTGTCATGAGGTGCTGGGAAAGGCAAAGAGATAATAGCAGCTTTCAGGCGTGGCAAGTGGATTTTCGCTTAAGGAAACACCAGTAACGTTTTTTTCTACAGGGCAGTCCTGAATATCTCCCATTGCTGGAGGCTAATCACCTCTAAAAGCTTATGTTTCTTGAGTAAAGCTATAGACCCAGTTGCGTCTTTGGCAAATTGCTTGGTCATCAACAACATGCAGGTGGGGGTTGTGTCCAGTTTCTGATGTCGCAAACCCAAATCTGATAGTTCAGTGAGTTTCCCATGTTGAGCACTGACCGCAAGGCACCCAAGCGCGCCGCAAAGCACGGTGCCTGGCAAGCCTAAAGGCGGGAGATCCAGCGGGTTTCATTCCCCACACTGCGGTGACACCAAGACTTGCCGATCGGTCACAGGTGAGAGCGAATGGAAGGCCAAGGCGATTTGCGCACACGCATGTTTGGGTCTTGAGGCTGCTCCAATCAGTTGGCTGCTGCAGTGGCTTTATTTATATTTGACACTTTTTTGATTCAAGGTGTGTAGCCCTCGCTTGTTGTTGCAAACCTATGGAAGACCTTTGGAAAGATTTCATGCTAGTATTAGGTGATCCGTAATCAATGTATATGGCACGCTCCACACGTGGTCATCGCTTTTCCTTCCTCTCCTTCCTCAGGGCGGTAAGGGCGCTCAAGGCAGAGCTGCGTAGCGGTCAGAGCAGCACATGGTGATGTCCTTTCCATGAGACAATCCAAGGGCGTGGCGTTGTTCGTCACCGTGACAAAATACTACTAATAAATACTAATAATAATATCATCATCAGCATCATCCTGTCCTCCTATCATCCTGTCATACTGTCATACTGTCATACTGTCATACTGTCATACTCATACTCATCGTCTTTCTCATCATCCGGAGATTTCTTGAGGACTTGCTCAGTGAGCAAACGGAGCTTTCCGCAAAGTGTTCAGTAGGATGTGCGTTTTGGATGCTAACCACTTCCTCACTCTTGAGTCAAAAGCATACACTCTCGACATCCAGATCCTTCATTGGTTTCCATTTCTTCAAAAACAGAATCACCATAGGCCCATAGGTGTGTGTTTGTGGCTTGGTCTCAGGCAGGATCAACCCTTCACCTTCGAAACACAGACTCCAAGCGTGTGCCAGGCGAAGGAAAGGCGGTCGAGCAGAGGCAGGGCAAAATTCTAGGCATTGGACAGGCATTGGGGTGTTTGAGCCAGTCCACGGAGTCCAATGGATACTTTATGATACTTTATGATTGGGATGTCAAAAAATATGTGAGATACGGTCAAAATAAGCGTAGATTACTTTAGTAAGGGAGGGTCCAATCGTGCATCTGAAAATATTGCAAAATATTGCGACGTCTGAAAATATTCCACATTGTGTTTTTTGTGCATCTGAAAATATTGCGACAGGTCGGGCAAAGAGGACTACGAGAATTTCGTGAAGTTTGTCACCACCACCATGCAGGTTTGACAATGTATCCTGGGTTTTGGAGGAAGTGGCCAGGCGTTCTCACAATATACATCCGTATATAATCATATATAATCATATTATATATATATGGCTCCATGTAAATAAGAGCGTGATATATATAGAGTATGTATATAATCTCATGATCATTGTGCTGAAGACTACTACTCCTAGTTGTGGAAGTCAAAGCGTTTCAATGAAATGTGCGTCCTAGGTGGGGGAGAAATTTCTGGAAGTCGGTGCGATGTTGCGTCCAGTTGGTGTTTAGCATGTTTGTGTTTTCTCCAATTGATGGTTTATCGTGAGTTTTTCATGGATACCATGCAGATGGTTGTAGCTATTCCCTTGTGTTTTGGGAGTTTTGTACATCACTTGTGGCTCGCTCTGTTGTGCAAGATTCATACAAACACCGACGAATACTGGGTCGATGTTATAACAAGTGCCTATGGGGAATGGCCCGCATGGGCAGCGCCTATCACTTTAACTTACTGATGTATTTTTTGGCACTTCGCATAGGCACACGACGCTTACCTGTCATATCTTTTTGGGTTTACCCACTATACTCCCAAAGATGAAAGTCGTGGCAATTGTATACTTGTTTGCCAAGCTTGCGTCCCTTTGTCTCCCCTCTGTCTCCCCTCTGTCTCCCTTACTCGCCCTTTGTCTCCTCTTCTCTCTCCTTGCTCTTGCCTGCAGCTGCTGCTTGGCTTGGTTTCCTCTTCTGCTCCACCGCTGGAAGCGCTTGAGTCTAACTGTTATGAAAAGAATGCGAAAGCGTGTGGCTACCAAAGAGTTTGTCAGGAGACTTAGGGGGTCAGTCTCCCAAAATCTGATTTCGGACCTCGTTTGGACCTCGTTTGCACCTCGTTCGGACCTCGTTAAAATTGCAGCCAGTCAAAACCCAGCCCGGAGAGGTTTTGGAAAGGCTTTGCAATGGTCTGCTGCTGCTGCTGCTGTTGTTGTTGCTTGTGTTGCTGCTTCTGGGCAAGGCGCGGTTTTTGGGCAGAGAAGCAAGAGATTTTGTCTGGCGTAAGCGGTGTGCCAGGGCAGAGAACGTGGATGAGATTTGCAACTGTACATTCACTTAGCAACATTCGAATCCCGAAGTCTTCCATTCCTTATCAAATTCCTTCAGGAAAGCCACCAGAAACATTCCTTCAGATTATTATTCAGACATTCAGACATATTTGAGATTCATGTGTGGAGACGCGT